TAATTCGAAACACCGGCTTCTATGTGAAAAATAGCTTGCTATAATTTCTATAAGAGCAATGGGCAAAACAATGACGTATTTCAAATTTAATTTATCTGTGCCAGTAAGGTTTTGTATATTAAATGATTACTCCTCATACATCACCGCATTAGCATATGGCATGGAAAAAACCTTCATAACTACAAGAAGCTGCACTCAAACTATGAAATATTTTTGGATTATTCCACATCTTACCCCATGTAGAATAAATACTGTGAATATTGTCAGAAGGGTGATAGGCACTTTAAGTTACAAATTCATAAGGAATAGACCCGTTTCGAATTCCAAATCACCGCTGTCTTTCTTGATTACAGACTCATTTGCACAGGGTTAGCCTCGAGTTTGTGCAGAATATTCATGTGTTCCAGTCAAGGTCCGTCGAGTTTCAAAGTGTTTGTATTGTTGAAGTTGTGCATTCTTTACTTCACTGTTGGCATTTGTGAATATTTAAACACTGATACGAGGCTAACCCTGTGCAAATGAGCCTGTAATCAGGGAACACAGCAGTAATTGGAATTCGAAACTGGTCTATTGAGAAGAAATCCTCCCCCCTCCCCCCAAACAAAATTCAAATTTTGCATTGAAAGATATATTCTTTTTTCACTTGATTTTTGAGGCATGATTCCCGTGTAAAATACATGTGTGTGTTGGTGTTGGGAATATGCATATGTATAAGTGCTTGGATTTCTTTATGTAGTCTTAGTGATTGCCATGTTCATTTTTGATCCTTAATGATGCACTTACTCTCGACAGGTCAAACTTGATTCCTCCTAATTCACCTTTTGCAAAGATTTCTGACATCCCACCCTAGAAAAAAAATTACAAAGAACATCATAAAAACACAACATCACAAACCAAGTTTATTTTATTATTATTTTTTCATTAATTCACTTACAAACCTGTGAAGTGATCACTCCAAAAGTTGGCAGAACAGAAAAATCCTCATGGCCTTCGTACAAGAACTTCAAATGTGAGTAATCATCTTTGGCAGAAACACCTACTCCCAAAGCATAGAGTATGATGTCACGGTGCGTGTAGGAGAAGGAGAACTCTTTACTATCACCACTAGTGTCTTCACTACCAGAATTCTTGTCTTCTATAATTTGCATTAGAACTGTTTGTGCATCTTGAGGAGATGGGTATTCTGCTCCAGACCAATCAGTTATATTATCCCAGTTATCTCTTATCATCTCCGGGGTCACTTCTATACCTTTTCTGTGTAACAGCTTACCCTTGCTTCTTTGCCATCTCAATTTTGAGTGCCACCCTGCTGCACTTTGAAACACAGCCCCATTTTCTTCACAGTTCTCACTGCAAAGATACATAACCAATGGCACTATATACTCTGGCTTTAACTCCTCTAGCATTTCTGGTGTCATTAGCCCTTGAGTTAGCCTTGATCCTGCAATAGGTGCAATAGCATTGCAATAAATGTTGTACTTTGTGCCCTCTAGCGACAGAGTGTTGCTGAGACCAACAAGCCCCATCTTTGCTGCACTGTAGTTGGCTTGGCCAAAGTTCCCGAATAAGCCAGAAGTTGACGTGGTCATGATAATGCGGCCGAATTTTTGCTTCTTCATATGAGGCCAAGCTGCTCTTGTCACTAGGAACGATCCACGAAGGTGAACTCTTTGTATTAAATCCCAATCCAGGTCACTAATCCTGGCAAACGACTTATCCCGCAGTATGCCAGCATTGTTAATCACGATATCTATCCGTCCAAAAGCATCAAGCGCCGTCTGAACGACTTTTTCGCCATCCTCGACGGAATTGTAATCAGCTACTGCCTTCCCTCCCTTGGATCGGATTTCTTCGACAACTAGATCTGCAGCGCGACTGCTCTTCCCCTCGCCTTTCGGGTCTCCACCTAAGTCATTGACGACAACTGACGCTCCTCTTGCTGCAAAAGCTAACGCATACTGCTTCCCTAACCCCCCTCCTGCACCAGTTACCAAAACTACACGACCATCAAATCGAATGGGAGCCGCCATCTTGTACAAAAGAAACCAAAAACCCCTATTTAGGGTGGGGTAGGGGATATTAGATATGTAATATTTAGACTGTCACTCTCATTTGAATGATTTATTTAAGAATAACTTAAAATTAGTTAGTTTTAACAAGAAATTATTTAATTTTTAATTTCTTTATGCTATAGATGGCAAAATATTTTAAAACAATTTTTAATTTTTTTAAATTTGGCAATCAATACTAGCCCTCCCCTCCCCTAAAGTGGTTATTCACCTTGAACGACCTTTACATAATATTTCTCTGACACACTGATTTAGCTAGTGGTATTACTTACTGAATTTCTCGTATTTCATTGCTTTTAATAAGTTGTTTTTCCTAAAACTAAGCCTTCCACAGGGAAAAACAACTCTTCTTCAAAATAGACAGCAATGTCAACTCATTTAGATAGTTCTTCAGCCAAAAACCCGTTGTCAAACTTGAAAGAAAATGGCAGCTTTGAGCCAGGACCTTTGGACTTGTATAGACAACAAGCATCTTTTAACCTCACAGAAATGAGACATTTTGTCGACGGAGGAGAAGATATTACTGAATTCAAGGATAGGCTATGGAAAATCATGGAGAAAGACCCCATATTTAGTCACGAAAAAGAGAAAGGTTTATCGCTGGATGGTAAGAGAAGGTTGGCACAGAGAAGGTGCAAGAGGGTTTATGAGCTGGACTTCTTGAATGACGAAGAGTTTGCTGATAATCCTTATAAGAATCAAGCTCTGACAGACGTTTTAGGGAGTTATGACTGGGGCGTATCTGCAAAGAACTCTTTAAATGCGTCGGTATGTAAACTTAAATCTCTTTACTGTTCCAATGGTAATAAAGGACGTAGACACACCACCCCAGGATAAAACTGTATTGCTTGGTAGTCTGTGGTGTTGAGAAAAAGAGAGTGGGAAGGAAAAGTCCCAGACTGCCGAGCAGTCATACAGACTACCTCAGGATGTAATTCTTGAATCCCTTCTAATATTTCTACTGCTCRGAAAGTTTAAAATAATGAATGATCAATGCCAGGCCAGACATGGTGAGTGACCCCTCTCCTTTCCTTCCCCTTCCCCCAGCCTCCTCGCCCCAATCCCCCTCCCCTTCCCAAAAGTTGCTACGCAGGCTACCCTGTGTATCCCCTGTGTATTATTTTTGGGGGGTGGTTAGGGTTCATGATGTTTGTAACCAATTCACTGATAATAATTATACATGTAGTGCACTTGTCTTTAGCAAATTTTTTTTTCTTTTAGATGTTTTCTCGTTTGCTTAGATTCCAGTCTAAACATGAACATATTCAAGAGCTTGGAGAGAAAGCCAAAAGAATGGAGGTGTGCATATACTATAATCAGGATCTAGTTTGCTTTGAGGACTTGTCTTTAGAGACTACATTATTTTATGGGAGAGCTGACTGTGTGGTCATCTTATGAACCTTTCATGATGTCCCTTGAGTAACCGCAAAAGGTTTTCTCTAAAACAACAGCCCCAAGTTGAGGTTGGGTTAAGTACTTCAATTTCAACCTTGACTTGGACCCAACGTGTTTGTTGGATAACTCAATAGAATTCAGGAAAGGCTTATAGAATATTTCCTGTTGTTTTTGCCCCTAATGTGAAGTCCTGCACAACCCACCACCAACACTAGTCTCATAGTAAGTTTAGCTGTTTTCTTAATTCTACATAGATATTTGGCTGTTTTGCCTTGACTGAGTTAGCCCATGGTAGTAACACAAGAGCAATGCAGACTACAGCAACATATGATCCAAGAACCAAGGTATGAGAAGTATAAATTTGTATTTCATACATAGCTAGAAATAATTTCTCTAATAAAGACTTCAAGTATGCATATCAAGCACTTTTCTTATTCAAGCAAAGGTGATGTTATAGATCACACTTAGTAGTTACCTGTAGTATGAAACAAACTAGGGGTGTCAAAACCCTGCCTTTTGACCCCTGGTAGGATGTTAGTCTGTCATAGGCTATCCCCAGCTTCTCCAGCACCTTGCCATGTATGCATCTCCAAACATTGAGCTAGTACTCATTTATACCCCTGGGTGGAGAGAGTCAATGAAAAAATACAGAATCTTGTAATTTCCCAATCACTTTTGAATCACTTGCCAGGAGATCATCGTGTCTATAATCCTTATCTTGGCATTGCCGAAAAAATACTTAAGAGAAGTTACAAGCGAAGTATTAGGTTTCCCTAATAATTTGTCTTACTTAAATCAAATGGTGCAAATTTTCCAATACTTGTAGGAATTCATTATCAACACACCAACATTTGAAGCCACTAAAGTCTGGGTGGGTAATCTTGGAAGGACAGCCACCCATGCTGTGGTATATGCACAGTTATACACCCCTGACGGCACCTGCCATGGTCTTCATCCTTTTGTTGTTCAAGTCAGAAGTACTAAAGATCTCAGAGCTAAGCCTGGTGTGACTGTGGGTGATCTTGGGGAGAAACTTGGGCAGAACTCATTGGACAATGGGTAAGATTAATAATTAACAAATCAAATTATAGCTTATGATTCTTCTTAAGAGTATGCATGAACTTCATTCAACTCGGGTTTCGATTCAAGTGAAAGCCAGCCTTTAAGATTAGACGTTATAGATAGTTTCCATTCTTATTTTCTTGAATCAGTTTTGCTGCCTTTGACCATGTGAGAATCCCCAGAGAACATCTCTTGAACAGCGGCAGTGATGTTACCCCAGATGGTAGATATGTGTCCCCATACAAGGATCCCAATAAGAGGTTTGGTGCAGCTCTGGGTGCATTGTCGAGTGGACGGGTAGGAATAACAGCCATGGCAGTCACCAATCTGAGGTCATGTCTACCAATAGCAATAAGGTACAATAAACAAATAATAATAAATAATGAGCAGTGTAGCCTCCTCTGCAGGCAACTCTATAAACTCTCACATACTATATCTCTCTAGTGAGCGGGCTTCCTTTTCCAGTGAAAAACGAG